TGTTTTCAGGACTATAGCTCTATAATAGAGCTTGAGGTCAGGGATGGTGATGCCTCCGGACGTTGCCTTGTTGAACAGGGTTGTTTTGGCTATCCTGGGTCTTTTGTTTTTCCATACAAAATTGATTATTGTTCTTTCAAGGTCTGTGAAGAATTGTGCTGGGATTTTAATGGGGATTGCATTGAATCTGTAGATTGCTTTTGGCAGGATTGCCATTTTTACTACATTGATCCTACCTATCCAAGAGCATGGGAGATCTTTCCATTTTCTGAGGGCTTCTTTAATTTCTTTCTTTAAAGATTCAAAGTTCTTACGATACAGGTCTTTCACTTGTTTGGTTAGCGTTACCCCAAGGTATTTTATGTTGTTTGTGGCAATTGTAAAGGGTGATGTTTCTCTGATTTCTCTTTCAGCCCTTTTATCATCTGTATATAGTAGGGCTACTGATTTTCTTGAGTTGATCTTGTAGCCTGCCACTTTGCTGAAGGTGTTAATCAGCTGTAAGAGTTCCCTGGTAGAGTTCTTTGGGTCATTGATGTAAACTATCATATCGTCTGCAAACAGTGAAAGTTTGACCTCTTCCTTCCCAATTTGTATCCCCTTGATCCCCCTTTGTTGTCGTATGGCAATAGCTAGAACTTCAAGTACCATGTTGAAAAGGTATGGAGAGAGTGGACAGCCTTGTTTTGTTCCTGATTTTAGAGGAATTGCGTTGAGTTTCTGTCCATTTAGTTTGATGTTGGCTGTTGGTTTACTGTATATAGCTTTTATTATGTTTAAGTATGTCCCTGTTATCCCAGATCTCTCCAAGACCTTTATCATGAAGGGGTGTTGGATTTTGTCAAAGGCTTTTTCAGCATCTAGTGAGATGATCATGTGATTTTTGTTTTTCAGCTTGTTTATATGGTGGATTACGTTGATGGATTTTCGTATGTTGAACCATCCCTGCATCCCTGGGATGAAACCTACTTGATCGTGGTGAATGATTGTTTTGATGTGTTCTTGGATCCGATTTGCCAGTATTTTATTGAGTATTTTTGCATCAATGTTCATGAGGGATATTGTTCTGAAGTTCTCTTTCTTACTTGTATCTTTGTGTGGCTTGGGGATCAAGGTTATTGAAGCCTCATAGAAAGAGTTTGGCAAAGACCCTTCTGCTTCTATTGTGTGGAACACTTTGAGAAGAATTGGTATAAGCCGTTCTTTGAATTTCTGGTAGAATTCTGCAGTGAGGCCATCTGGACCTGGGCTTTTTTGGTTGGGAGACTTTTGATGACAGCTTCTATTTTCATAGGGGTTATAGGTCTATTTAAATTGCTTATCTGTTCTTGATTTAATTTTGGCAATTGATAGCTGTCCAGGAAGTCATCCATTTCCTTTAATTTTCGAATTTTGTGGAGTACAGGTTTTCAAAGTATGACCTAATGATTCTCTGGATTTCCTCAGAGTCTGTTGTTATGTCCCCCTTTTCATTTCTAATATTGTTAATTTGCGTGTTCACTCTCTGCTGTTTGGTAAGTTTGGATAAAGGTTTGTCTATCTTGTTGATTTTCTCAAAGAACCAACTCTTCATTGCATTGAATCTTTGTATTGTTTTCCTGGTTTCTACTTTATTGATTTCAGCCCTCAATTTGATTATTTCCTGGCGTCTACTCCTCCTGGGGGAGTTTGCTTCTTTGTGTTTTATCTTTTGACACATGTATGTTGGCTTTACACATTTGTGCAGTGGTCCTCAACAAACCTGAATCCCTATCAACTGCCATGTGCACATATTTTAACTTGTCAAATTGTGTAATATGCATAACAACTATTTGCCATAAATGATGAGGAATAGGTGTCAAGGGACTTTTTAAATAGTTATAGAAATATATTGTGTGTACACCTCATTGTTCAACACTTTTGATGAACAGTCTCTCTAGTTAAATCAAATTGCCCTCCCATACTTCTTCCATTTCAATAATGAATGTTATGAGACTGCAAAGCTCCCTCTACCTGATATAAGTGACCCTTGAATATTTCCCAACAACTTCTGAAGACATTTAATGATTGCAAACTCTACTACCTTGCCAAATAACTTTTGAAAACGAATTGAAGTCTGTGAAAACTCTTTTTCTAATCCAATCTGTAATGCAATATATAAAGCACTCAGCAGTTTGCAAGGCCTCATTTATATCTTACCTGACATGACCTAATTGTATCTATATTTACTCTTTTGTAGTTGGTGGTCTAACAGGGCAGCAGTTTTCCTGAGTCTTCTTCTCAAAACATTTTTTCTCTTGGTTTCCTTTTCCAACCATGATTTTTAGAATTCCTTATCTTCTCCTTGGCTAAACTGTGTAGAATCATCCATACAGACTACTTTGGCTCTTAGGCCATGTTGTAGTCTTCTTTTCCTTTTCCATTGACTGGCTTTGAGCATTTAAATAACCAAACATTATTGATAACACACTGACTGGCTGGATTATCTTTTTGGTATATCCAAAGCAACTTAGGTAGCCTCTTTACTTTCCAAAGTAATTTAAGTATTTTCTTATTAATTCCAAAGAAATTCATGTAATTCACAATTATACATCATACATACAAGTGTGGCCACAGCATATGTAAAAAACACATAGATCTTTTTTTCATCCTTTTTCCCTATGTCATGATTTGTTTTTTGAAATGAAACTTCCTTAGTTAAAATTTTTGTGACATAACAGCTCCAGCCAATCTTTGAATTAAAACAAAAGTTGAAAAATGCACTCATGGCTTTCACCATCCTGTCATATCTAATCATCAATATTCTGTTATACCTAGGCAATTTTGAGAGGAGTTGAATGTGGCAAAAATAACATCAGGTCCTTTGACAAAGATTTGGAAAATTTTTCAGGATTTGTCCTAGAGTGGACCAACCTGGTTTTGAAGCACCCATGACAACCACAGTTTTACTGAACTCTATCAAATTATATAACATGCAATATTTTCCTTCTTTTTTCTTTGTAACACAAATATGTGTATTTGAAAAGGAGGTAGAAAGTTCAATATGTCCAGCCTCCAATTGCTATTGTACAAGATAATCAGCAGCCTCCAATTTAATTTACATAAGGGCCATTGGTCAAACCAAATGGTAACTCTGATATCCATGTGTTTGGATTAGGTCATATGGATGGAGGATTAGTCACAATAGTCCCAGCTGAAAATGACACAGTCCTGTCGAATCTTCTGACATGTGGGTAACAGAATTTCTTGAGTGATAATGACTGGTTGAGTGGTAAAAACTTCTGTGTGCCCCACATTATCTCACCAATGGAGAAGTTCTGAGCTACACTCAGGAGCTACAGCTGTACCCAATCCTTGTAATGTGGCATGACACAATGGTAACCAATCATTACTAGTTAAGTTTAAGTTGAAACATGGGAAGTAGTTTACTAACTGATCTTCCTGGGAATATTTAAATGTTTTTTCAACATCAGACTTTTTGTTTCTTCGTCTTAGCACTATCACCCTATAGGGCATCTTTTACTTATCTCCAAAGGGAAAAGGCAGAAATAGAAAAACATTCCAGTCCATTATTCTGAATAGACTTTTGTAGGTGATTTTTAACTAGTTCCCAATCATGAATATTAAGCCCTCTGGAGTGTAAAAGGCATGGACTTATTTTTCCAAAGTTAAAACAGAATCTTATCTGTATTCTGCTTAATGCTGGTACTTTGCTCTTTAACAATTCTAATAACTCTTCTATAAATACAGTTTTAAAAGCTGAAGTACACATTTTCCAAATACACCCTCAGAAATACTTACCTGCTGACCAGCCTCTGATGGTGATTTCTCAGCATCCCCTTTCTTCCCTGATCTTGGTGTCAGACAAAAGCCCAGAGATTTAATCTAATCCACCCTCCTAACCTCTGAGGATAATCACTCCCTTTCCTGACCCTGTTGTTGGATGAAAGCCTGGAGATTTAACTATTCAATTTTACTACCTTTTAGAAGTTGACTTACCTGTTTTAAATTCCTAGCTTTCCCAAGTCACTTTTTTGAGCCTTATTTCTTTCCCAATCTCCTTTCTTTTCTGGTTGTTCTCAAACTTCCAATTCTCTCCTAAACTTTGTGGAACCTCCATGTCATGAGCAAGTATAATATTTCAGGTGAAACCTGGAGTTTGAAGTGAAAGATAAGACAATCCACTGTACTTTGTAAGAGGATTCTACTTCAACGTAGAGAGGGAGCAGCAGGCTTACAACACAGAGGAAAAATGCCAGGTGGAAAGATCTTGTTTATCTCATAAGTAGATATTGATAACAGTGGGGCATGGCCAGGGCAGTAAGCCATGTCTAAGAAATAGGATTCACTTGGACTGAAAAACAGGATGTAACTATTAGCTGACCAGCGACTCACAGAGACCCTGTGGGGCCTGGACTCAACAATATTCTGCTTCTGGGAAGCATTTAGAGATACTGTGTTGTGCACATCGACACACTAAATGTTTAGAAACACAGAAGCTCAGGTCTTAGATGATATAAACAAAGGATGAAATTATATAGTCAAGATGGTCATTATGACATTGGAAAAAATATATTTATTTTCTCAACATTCTTCAGTGATGGAGAAGACTCAATATTGCAACTCTGTTGTTTCTCCTGTCACTTGCCCTATTTAGGTGTTCAGACTTTCCATCTGCTGTTTCACATCCTTTTTGTTGAGGAGGGGTGGTGTTGGTGACAGCTCTCCAGAAGCCACTCTTGTATGATGAACACAAGTAAACTTGCATTTTGACAAAATATAGAGGATATACAGATTATTCTGAGACCTAAAATTCTTCCAGGGGCACCCGGGAGCCCCCGACCCATGGGTGGTTTTGGCGGGGGGCTTGTGGTGTGCCCTGCATGAGACTAGATTGCAGCCGACAAGGCTCTCTCAGTGTAGCCCTGGAGTTCTCTGTGTAGAGCAGATTGGTCTTGAACTTCTGCCTCTCTCTACCTTAGACTCCCTCTGAGTGCTGGGAGTTAAAGAATAATTTAAGGATGACCACACCTAACAAGACACCTCCTGGTTCTGATCCCAAGCAGTTGGAAAGAAGTGCAACCATAAGGAAGACCGGCTCTCAAGCTCTTTGGTCACTCTCATCTTGCAAACCAGCTTGTGAAGTGGATCAATTACCATATGACAATCTAGAAATTTACTGGCAATCTGATGGCTCTCAACCTCACATAGTTAACATCAAATTCAGAAGAAAAACAACAGTGAATACATTGTATATTTATTCAGACTATAAACCTGATGAAAGCTACACTCCAAGCAAATTCTGAGTCAGAGTAGAAATAATTTTCCCCACCTTCAAGAAATTTGGCAACTTGAATTGTAAAACCAATTGGCTGGATACATGTTCCTTTAACAGACAATTATAAGAAGCCAACTCAAACATTCATGATACTGATTGCTTTTCTAGCCAATCACCAAAATGGAAGAGATATGCACATGAGACAAATTAAAATATACACACCAGTGGAAGAGAGCTCCATTGGAAAATTCCCCAGCGCACAATCATTGATTTCATGATGTATCGTTCAATACAGTGACTTGAAAATGGGACAGAAGTCAACAAGAATGTGTTTTTTCATGTCATTGAATATTAGGTCAAGTATCGTTAGTGGGAAAGCATGTCCTTTTACAACTTTATATATATTTAAAACACTTTAATTCAGAGAGATAACTTTTGGGTGATACCTGTTTCTGTATACAATAAAGCTCATGTATTTTATATTGCTAAAAATAAATTTGAAGTCAATCTTTAAATTTTTCTTTATATTAAAAGAAAACTAGTTAAACTGAAAACTTCAAAATGTACATAATTTTTACTAGTATGGTAATTACTTCGTATAATGATTATTGGGTGTTTGCGAACAATACTCTGTTTTCTTTGTATACCTAAAATAATTTTTAATAGCATAAGGTTAATTTTTTGCTCTATGTCTAAAATTCATATATGAGTGAGTACATACTATGTTGGTCTTTTTATGACTGGGTTACCTCACTCAGGGTGGTTTCTTCTAGTTCCATCCATTTGCCTGCAAATTTCAAGATTCCATTGTTTTCTTTGCTGATTAGTACTCCATTGTGAAAATTTACCACATTCTCTTTATTCATTCTTCAGTTGAGGGCATATAGACTGCTTCCATGTTCTTGCTATTACAAATAATGCTGCTATGGACATAGTTGAACAGATATCCTTGTATGAATGTGCATCTTTTGGGTATATGCCTAAGAGTAGACTTATTGAACCTAGTGGTAGACTAATTCCCATTTTCCTGAGGTATCTCCATACTGATTTCCAAAGTGGCTGTATGAGTTTGTATTCCCACCAGCAGTGGAAGAGTGTTCCCTTTTCTCCACATCCTCTCCAGCATAATCTATGGATTTTAGACATGGAGCAAAGGATTACCAATTTACAATCCACACCGCCAGAGAATCTAGGAAACAAGTAGGAACCTAAGAGAGACATACATGGTCCCCTGTAGAAGGGGAAACAGACAAGATCTCCTGAGCTAATTGGGAGAATGGGAGGAAGGGAGAGGAAGTAAGGAGAAAGAGAAGGGAAGAAAAAGGGGAGAGGAGGACATGAGGGAGCAGGAAGATTCGAGTCAGGGGAAGAATAGAGCAAGAAAAGGGATACCATAATAGAGGGAGCAATTATAGGTTTATAGAGAAAACTGGCCATAGGGACATATTCAGATATCTACATGGAAGACCCCAACTAACAATCTAAGCAATAGTGGAGAGGCTACCTTAAATGACCTTCCCCTATATTAAGATTGATGACTACCTTATATGCCATCCTAGAGCCTTCATCCAGTAGCTGATGGAAGCAGAAGGGGACACCCAGAGCTAAACACTAAACTGAACTCCTGGAATCCAGTTGCAGAAAGGGAGGAGTGATGAGCAAAGGGGTCAAGACCAGACTGGAAAAGCCCACAGAAACAGTTGCACAAGAGGAGCTCATGGGCCCCAGACTGAAAGCTGGGAAACCAACATAGGACCGGTTCAGACCCCCTCACTGAGCATGGTTGTCAGTTAGGAGGCCTGGGCAAACTATGAGGCCTCCGGTAGTGGATCAGTATTTATCCGTAATACATGAATGGATTTGGGAGCCCATTCCACATAGAGGTATACTCTCTCAGCCTAGACACACAGGGGAGGGCCCAGGCCCTGCTCCAAATGATATGACAGACTTTGAAGATTCCCCATGGAAAGACTCACTCTCCATGGGGAGCAGAAAGGGTATTAGATAAGGGCCTGGTGGGGGGCAGGGGATGAGGAGAGAGAGAGGAAACTGGAATTGTAAAACAAGCTTGTTTCTAATTTAAATAAAATGATTAAACTTTTGTAGATGAAATGTAATTTCTTAAATGTGTGATCCTTTGTAAATATAATATCAAAATAAACTGGTACTAGATTGTTTGTTATGAACTTGTCTGTTTATGTCATCTGACCCATGCCTGTAATGTGGTATTCTAGAGGCTGGGAGAAGGATTTTGAGTTCCAGTCTAGCTTGGCCTATGCATTGAGACCCTGTATTAAAGAGACTGGGGGCTTTACCAAGAGGAGAGGCTAGTTTGATTTCTTGGATGTAATTGCCTTACCTTTTACCTTCCATGCAAAGAAATATTTGAAACCCCAGAGTTGTGTGTACTCTGCCAATATCATGTTAGAAATTACCATTTAATTTGCAGTTTATCTCAGTCCATGTATTAATTATATGAATAATTTCATTCTGTGTCTAACTTTGTAACATTTTCACAGATAATATTTCCTATGAGAATTTAAAAAGAACTTTTTCTCTTTTTTGTAGAATATGGATTAAACAATGAATCCTGATTGGTTCATAACATGTTGTGCCCTGTATTTGATTGGGATGGAGTCATTAGTCTCAGGACTTCCCTTAGATTCATTGGCTTTACAAAGGTTGTTCGTGTATTGTTGGGTATATGTAAGTCTAAATCAAGAATGTTTAAATTTAATAATGTGCTTGTTTGCTTTATGCTGTTTGCTTTATACTATTCATCTGGTTACTACTGAAAATATGGTTTCACTTTCTTTGAGATCCAAAAAAATTTTCCAGAATGCACCTTGCCTCTGACTCAGTGAAACACCAGTGGATTCTAACCCAGACTTGAGATGCCCATACAGGTGATCTCAGCTCTCACACCTCTAAAGGTAGTTGCATTTCTCAGCCACCTGTTTTCCCATTGCACCTCAGCACATAACTCACATAAAGAAAGAAAGAACTTCCTCAGGCTTATTCACAAATGCACACTCTCCATTCAACTTACCTCAGAATTCACAAGTGTGTGGGATTAGTAGCTAGGAAGCAGTTACCATAGTTCACAGGAAGGCAGGTCTTTCTACAGAATCCAAAACATCCTGACATGTCACTCCAAGAACATGACTATAGATTGCTTAAGAATCCATACAGGTGCAAAATGTGATCACCAGACTCACAAAGTCACATCACTGACAACATAGGGCACACAGACTTTGTTCACAGCACTTAAAGTTATCCACTGGTGTTGAAGTACAGTGATGACCTACCTAGAGCTCCAACGCTCCTCTAGTCTCTCCCTCCAGTTGACCTCATTTGATGCTGGTCCTCCATCAACCAAAATTTACTGTAATATTTAAAACCAAGAGCTCCGAGGATAATAGCTTTGCATTGCCAGTTCCTTGCTTTTAGGAGAGACAAATTACTAGCCTGGAATCCTTGAATTCCAGAAGACCTGTCAGGCAGTGAAGATCAATTTCTTCCCAGAAGCCCCAAATCCTGTTCTCCATTACAAGCTAAACATAACCTTATCTAGGGAGTTCCCCATCTTCAGCCTAGGACTTGCTGTACTTCCTTTTGAACATTTTCTTCTTTGACAGTTTAAACAGAGGCTGAAGATCAGCCTTCTTCTGCCTCTCTCTGGTCTGTCTTCCCTACAAATGCAGTTGGTGTTGCTACAACACATGTGACCTCACAGGATTCCATGGTGTCCAGGAAACAATGGAATTTTAGGGAAGTTCCTGCTGATGTCATGTGGAATGAACATGGACTCCTGCTAACCAGAATTCACGTTTCCCTATCCAGGAATGTCTCTTGGAACACAAATCAAAACTGCATCTCTCCTTTCGTCCAACTAAAGATTCTGCATCCTTTAGAATCTTCCACATTAGGAATTAACTCTGCAGATTACAGGCTTTCTGCAGTGTACATTTGCTACATGTGTAAACATTTTTTTCTGGTTATAAGAGGAATTAGTGGTTGAGTATTTGAACCCAGGCAGCTTTGTTTCCTGTAGGAATAATAAGAGACCCAATACAGTGATGTGCAGGCTCCCCTAAAGGCTCTAATTTCAGTTTCCCAAATTGTTCACATCCATGTGGTATCTAATCCAGGCCATGCATATTTGATCTGTGCTCAAGCCTTGTGACACTGTTATTTTTATCCAAATTAATATGTCTAGATGATTGGAGAAATCTTGCCATTACATTTTACTTCTCAGTATAAATTCTAGTGGATTTTAAAAGATAAGTAAAAACAAGCCAGCCCCATGTGCACTCTACCCTAGGCCATTAGTGATTTCCAGGTGTAGTTAGGAGTTAGGAGTGTCTCTTAAAGATCCAGCTAAGCATTTTTGGGAGGAGGCTTAAGAATAACCAGCTTGGTAGGAAACTGAACAAAAGCCTATGAAGGAGAACATATCTTTGCAAGGCAAGTAAGTGAGATAGATGGCTGATGCTGCTCTTTTACCACAGTAGCTCTCAGAATGTACTGAGAAATGGTTTCTTCCAGATGACTACTTTATATTGTCAAGTTCTCCTGGAATGACATCATCACAAATATGCCATAACATTATGAATGTTGGGAACCAATGCCCTTCAAGGTGTCTTTGACAGACAACTTCCTGTGCTTGGACTAGACCCACTTGGTGGGCCCACCACTATAATCAGCCTGGTTCTGCACACTGTTTAAATGAGCAATAAGTCTCCAGTGAGCTAAGACCCCATTAAGTCCCTCTAGGAAGAATTCAAAATATTTATAACTGATTGAATTCAAGATAGAAGAGCATCCCTGACTTACAACACAGGTGATGAAGGTGATCAACTCAATATGGAATATAATATATTTATTCACATACAAGATGGGAGGACTGAAAGTGTGGTAGGCTTCCAGACGATGAGAAGAGAAGAAGAAAAGCGGTTCATTTCTGTTTCACATTCCTTTATCCTAAATTTACATATCCCCACACTTAATATAAATAGAAGATTTAAA